TTTCTCCATCTAGCCCATGACTGCCTCTTATTGTCAGCAGCTCTCTCCAGGGTCTCAGCCAGAGATCTTCCCCACCACTGGGTAAAATAGAGATGTCTTGGATTGAACCGGAAAACCTTTTGCATGCAAACAACCTGCTCTGTTAGTGAGCTCCTCCTAGTGATGGGGGAGAAATTAGATTCAGTTTGCATTTAGAGATAAACCTATATAATTGGCACTCCCAAGAACAATGCACGAACCGAAACACAGCCATCTTTCAAAATTTGCACATTCTGGATTTTGTAATGCAATTCTCCAGCCAAGTAATGTGTGCAAAAATGCTTATAACTAGGGTAAAGTGTGCATATACCTGTAAATGCATATATTTAATAAAATAACAAGCATAATATAATATAATATGCACACATAACATACATGCATACCTAACATTTGTGAAAACACACACACAGAAAAGAATTTTACTTGCATTAACTAACTGAGATTCTCAGAAGCCTCCCCTTTCTGCTTTTACGTCATTCATAACATACATACGTATGCACTCAGTAGGTGACAATGTGGCTCAATGGCTGGTGTGTGATTTTTAGCAGTGCCCACTTCAAATCCTGTCTCAGCCAAAAACACCATGGACATGGGAGAGAAAACATTTCTTACCTTAAAGTTTGAGCGGCAAATATTAGCAGGCTTGCTCATTCCATCTCCTGAAAACAAATCAATAAGTTTGCAGTAAGGAGGATTGTGAGGACTCAGTGTTTTAAATACCATCACCTGTGCCCAAGTAACTGCAGTCAACATAAATATGGATTCAGCAAATGTGTGAGAGTTGTTCTGTGTTTGATATTCGTAGGGATGGGCAATCCCTAGGTTTGGATGGCAGCTTTCTGGACAACACACTTCAGGTGCAACTTTATACTTTTTCAATCTCAGTACTACAGAGGAGGATGCGGGTGGCGCTGTGGTCTAAACCACTGAGCCTCTTGGGCTTGCCCATCGGAAGCTTGGCGGTTCAAATCCCCACGACGGGGTCAGCTCCCATTGCTCTGTTCCAGCTCCTGCCAACCTAGCAGTTCAAAAGCACACCAGAGCGAGTAGATAAATAGGTACCACTGTGGCGGGAAGGTTAACGGCATTTCCATGCGCTCTTTTTCCGTCACAGTGTTCTGTTGTGCCAGAAGCGGTTTAGTCATCCTGGCCACATGACCTGGAAAGCTGTCTGTGGACAAACGCCAGCTCCCTCGACCTGAAAGCGAGATGAGTGCCGCAACCCCATAGTCGCCTTTGACTGGACTCAACCATCCAGGGGTCCTTTACCTGTACCTTATAGAGGAGGTTTCACTTGCTCATTTTGTCCATAATCTTTTCACCGTGGTGGAAGTATGAGAGCAAGAATCCAAATTTACAGTAAGGCAATGTGCAACTCCAGCAGAATATAGACTGAGGTGTTTACAGTTCCTGTCATAAAACTGCTCAGGCAAGGGAGTTTGACTCCTTTTACACACAGAGAGAGTCTTGTGCATTTCAACAAAACCATAAACTTTTTCCTCTGGGATTTGCCATAGAATTTACTCCCTATTTCTGTTCCAAGGTAGAAATTGTCCTTGCAGAGATATCTTAGGAGTGTGTACTGAGAAGGGAGATCTAAAGAAAACCCTCAGCCAGTGTGAGAGTTTAATGTAGCTTTAATTGGTAGCTCCTCTTAGCTTTTTATAGCTCTCTGGTTCAAATGCTTGATCTAATATTCTTGTTTGTTTTAACTCTGCTAACATTTTCTGTTATGCGTTATCTTTTGTTCATCAGCTGCTTTGGATACTTCTTGCAGGAAAAAAAGCAGGGTAAAAGTAATTAACCCAGCTGGGAGGGAAAAACTGGAGAGCGCAAATTGGAAAGCTGCGTATAACAGGCTTTTACACAAAACGCTGAACATCACAGATGGCTTGGATAAAGGATGGGGAGCCTGTGGCTTTCCAGATATTCTTGTACTCCAACTCCCATCAGCTCCAGTAAGCATGCATGGCTAATGTTCAGGGATGATGGGAGTTGTAGTCCCAACATCTATTTGGTGTGCTGGAGGACTTAATGTCTGCTGTTGCTCCACCACCAAAAACAGCCATTGCACAAGGGTATACAGACTGAAAAACTGATAGATGCAATTACCACGTGGAACTTTTACGTATCAACTGCATCTTAATTCCTGCAGGGGAGTTTTGTCCATGCAGGAATTTTATGATGGTGAAATAGGAATTAAATGAAGAAACCTTTGTGCAAGGAGTGCACTTCTCGTATTAGGACGGGTGGCGCTGTGGGTTAAACCACAGAGCCTAGGACTTGCCAATCAGAAGGTCGGTGGTTCAAATCCCCGCGACGGGGTGAGCTCCCGTTGCTCGGTCCCTGCTCCTGCCAACCTAGCAGTTCAAAAGCACGTTAAAGTTCAAGTAGATAAATAGGTACCACTCCAGCAGGAAGGTAAACGGTGTTTCCGTGCGCTGCTCTGGTTCGCCAGAAGTGCCTTAGTCATGCTGGCCACATGACCCGGAAGCTGTACGCCGGCTCCCTTGGCCAATAAAGCGAGATGAGCGCCACAACCCCAGAGTCAGCAACGACTGGACCTAATGGTCAGAGGTCCCTTTACCTTTTTATGCTAGAGTTGCCATTCGTTTCTTATTTCAAGGAAGACTTCCTTATTTATTTGTGAGATGTAGCATAATGGTTAAAGGAAGGCTTAGGCAAACTCGGCCCTCCAGATGTTTTGGGACTACAACTCTCATCATCCCTAGCTAACAGGACCAGTGGTCAGGGCTGATGGGAGTTGTAGTCCCAAAACATCTGGAGGGCTGAGTTTGCCTATGCCTGGTTAAAGGCAACTTTAATCTAAAGTATTATCAAGATGCTATCTTCTGCTATATCTTTTGAGAGTTTTTCTTCACTCTGAATTTGGGCACCTCTAGGACCTCCTGAGATCAAGGAGCAGGTTTTCACCTATGTTTGAATATCATTGGATACCATTTTGAATCAAAATGGAAGACTGAACCGTTCTAAAACTGCACTGATTTTAACCATGTTTTGCATGACGGTTCCGAAAATCAAGGGGAATATTTTTGTCTATGTTCGGATACAGTTAGAAAACATTTTGAATCAAAATAGAGACTGAACCTTACAAAATTGAAGGGTTTTTTTTGTTTCTTAGAATTTACAAACAAGGCTGAATAGAAGGGCATTAGTAGCTTAACAGAGTACTGTTGGCGTTTTGACTCTTTTAATACATCATTTTACTTATGGCCTCCCAATTTTTTTTCTTATTTTGGAGCTCCGCAAGCCTGAATGAAATGAAAATGTATCATAGGAGGGAGTACTGTACCTTTAATAGCAACGAAAAGGTTGATGTCAAAAGTGTAAGGCTGATCATCGCAGAGGTAGGGCAGTGGCCTGGGATCCTTGACGAAGCAAAAGAAGCGTCATATATCCCTCTATAATAGCAGACTCAAGTGGTTGAGTGTCTATCAGTTCTGAAGTGAAAACAGAGGGCTGCATCCAACGTACTGCTAGGTTACAGTCCCTTAGCAATACACCTATTGCGCTGGCAGGATGATGTGGCGCAAGGAAAAACACAAGCGCAAGCTGTTTCACAACTAAATCCACTGTTGCACAAGAACCAGCTGTTGTGCACCTAGATTCTGCTAGCACAAAAGTTGCACTGGATTCCTTCGTTGCTCAATCTTTAAATTCTGCCATCTACTACCCCAAAGGTGGTGGAGCCAGGATCTCACTCGGGTTGTCCCCAGGTCAGATCAAGGCCTCTCCCAGTGCTGGATTTAAGCCGTTTAGAGGCCCTCAGCACTTAAAAAGATTTAGGTGCCCCCATATATATATAATGCAAAATATAAACAACAATAAACCATAAAATACTGCCTTCTGCAATTATTTTACAAAGTTCAGCATTACTGAATCTTGTTTTTACATTTTTTTTGTTGTTGTGCTGAACTTACAATGCACATATTGTGGGATCCTTTTTTTGTGGAACCTGGTTCAACTGCACCATAGAAAATCTGGCAAAGGAAAATTTCTGTGGTGCCCTAATCATGTGCTCATTTTGCTTAATGCTTCATCCAACCCTGGGTGCTCTGAAGTGCTGGGCCGGGACATAATTTGGATTGTGGGTGGGGAATCATGCACATCTCTGTTAATTGTGTATGCCCCACCCATCTGACAAGTAGCCTTGTTTCCACATACGTCATGTAGAATCAATTTCCCCGTAAGTCACATGGGATACATCTGATCACTTTTTGCTAACCTGGATAGGATTCGGCAGTGCAAACGGCATCAGAGCTTCCATAGTCACCACCCACGGAGAGATGGTGGTGCCAAAACTCTTGCCCAGAAATGGACCGAGGGGGACATATTCCCATTTCTGAATGTCACGTGCTAGGAGACAAGGAAAGAGATGATATAGATATAGATGATATAGATATAGATGATGTAGATATAGATACACAGTGGTACCTCGGGTTACATATGCTTCAGGTTACAGACTCCGCTAACCCAGAAATAGTACCTCGGGCTAAGAACTTTGCTTCAGGATGAGAACAGAAATTGTGTGGTGGTGGTGTGGCAGCAGCAGGAGGCCCCATTAGCTAAAGTGGTACAGTGGTACCTCTGGTTGCGAATGGGATCCGTTCTGGAGCCCCATTTGCAACCTGAACGGAATGCAACCCGCACCTACGCATGTGCAGGTTGCGATTCGCCGCTTCTGCGCACGCACGTGACGTCATTTTGCACGTCTGCGCATGCGCGAGCGACGAAACCCGGAAGTAACCCTTTCTGGTACTTCTGGGTCGACGCGGGATGCAACCTGAAAAGACGTAACCCACAGCATTCGCAACATGAGGTATGACTGCACCTCAGGTTAAGAACAGTTTCAGGTTAAGAACAGACCTCCAGAACGAATTAAGTTCTTAACCCGAGGTACCACTGTATATATAAGTTTTAGGCTCTGCTTCTCAGGGAAGGGGCTGTAGCTCAGTGGAAGAGAATCTGTTTTGCATGCAGGAGGACCCAGGGTCAATTCCTGGCATGTCCAGGTAGGACTGGGAACAATTTAGGGCAGTGAAGGCGGTTCCACTGCACAGGATGCCCAAATGAAGGGGCACAAAATTGAGAAGATCCATAATTGGGAATATCAATTTTTAGGGTGCCAAATTTTGGCCTCACACAGGGTGCAATATTACAAAATATTACCCAAGTCAGGCATAGGTAAACTCCGGTCCTCCAGATGTTTGGGACTACAATTCCCATCATCCCTGACCACTGTTAGCTAGGGATGATGGGAATTGTAGCCCCAAACATCTGGAGGGCTGGAGTTTGCCTATGCCTGACCCAAGTCCTCCCTTGCTGGGAAAGACCTAGAGAGCTGCTACCAGCTGGTGCATACAATACTGTGCATACAGTACTCCAAAAATTTTTACACATCACTTGGGAAGACAGGCAAACTAATGCCAGTATACTAGAAGCAGCAAAGATCACCAGTGTTGAACCCATGACTCTTCAACATCAACTTCGCTGGACCGGTCACATTGTTCAGATGTCTGGTTATCGCCTTCCTAAGCAAGTACTCTATTCTGAGCTTAAAAATGGAAAGCGTAATGCTGGTGGTCAACAAAAGAGGTTCAAATACTCTCTCAAGGCAAATCTAAAAAAATGTAGTAGAAACACTGACAACTGGGAAACACTGGCCTGCGAGCGCTCCAGTTGGAGAACAGCCTTTCCCAAAGGTGCCGTGGGCTTCGAAGATGCTCAAACTTAGGATGAAAGGGAGAAATGCACTAAGAGGAAGGCACACTTGGCAAACCTTCACCGTGTTCAACTCCCGCCCAGAAACCTATGTCCCCACTGTGGAAGGACGTGTGGATCCAGAATTGGCCTCCACAATCACTTACGGACTCACTGTTAAAACCATGTTCATGGAAGACAATCTCACTCAGCTACGAGTGGTCGCCGAAGAAGAAGAAGAAGACGACGTTGACGACAATACTGCACTAGACAGATCAATGGTCTGACATAATATATGACAGGTTCCAATGTTTAACTGGAGAAGAACACTAGCTCAGAGGCAAAGCATCTGCTTTGTGTACAGGAGGTCACAGGTTCAAGGCTGCTGTCTGAAATCCTTAAGAGCCACTGGCAGTCAGTGGAGACGATACTGAATTCAATTGACCAATGGTCTGATTCAGCATAAGGCTGCTTCCTATATCTTTGCTCTCCTGAAGGAATCTTCAGAAGTCTGCCTCATTTCACTACATTGTCTAATACAAAAGCATAGCAAGAGGATTCCTGCCGTGGGGAACATCAGCAGGGCTCATTACCGCTCCAGTCATTCATAAGGACCATCCCAAAGATGTGCTTGTGAGCTTCGCTGATGGGAACCGCCTCTCCAGGTTTGTTTCCGGGGCCTACAAAGAAAGCCTGGGGAAATACAGGAGGAGGTTTTGTTAGGGCGGGTGGTGCTGTGGATTAAACCACAGAGCCTAGGACTTGCCGATCAGAAGGTCGGCGGTTCGAATCCCGCGATGGGGTGAGCTCCCGTTGCTCGGTCCCTGCTCCTGCCAGCCTAGCAGTTCGAAAGCACGTCAAAGTGCAAGTAGATAAATAGGTAGCACTCCAGCGGGAAGGTAAACAGCGTTTCCGTGCGCTGCTCTGGTTCACCAGAAGCAGCTTAGTCATGCTGGCCACATGACCCGGAAGCTGTACGCCGGCTCCCTCGGCCAATAAAGCGAGATGAGCGCTGCAACCCCAAAGTCGGTCACGACTGGACCTAATGGTCAGGGGTCCCTTTACCTTATGTTCCAAAAATGGAAATATTCTGTTTTATACAAAAGAACCAACATGGTAAAGCACATGCACTCATCTCAGCTTATCCCATCCAATTCCTGGATTCTTACGTGGCACTTTCTGTGCAAACAGGACAAATACAGCAGCCAGAATTTGGAGCACAATGCAAGTTTATTTGTTTGATTGCTGAGCATCTGGTCTTATTTTGAACTGTGGTTTTAACTCTGCTTAAATGGTTGCGTTTTCATTGATGAGTTGCCTCAGGGCTCTTATGAGAGGAAATCAAATCATTATGCAGTTTCCATCATAAGGCTCCTCTTTCCCTGAACTTTGACACCTGAGATGGTGTTTGTGTGACCTACCCTACTCTTGTGAGTGCAATTTGTTTTAAACTGTTTTAATAATGTATTTTAAATGGTCGTTAACTCACCCCGGGACCTTATGAGGAAGGGTGCATAAGAAATTGAATTAATAGTAGTTGCAGTAAAACGACGATGACGACAACAACATTGTAGTATTTATTTTCCTAGATCCTTCCTAACATTAACTTGCTCCTAGATATATGTCCTATTTTCCTGCTGATTTAATTTCTAATTGTGGTTTTATTGTTATGTTCCTCCCGCACCCCGCTCCTTTAATTGGGCCAATCCAACTTTAGCGTTGGTCCTACACTGAAACTGATGGATATGGCTCACGTGGACTTATTAATTTCAGTAGGTTTATTCTGAATATAATTAAGTTGTAAACAACTCAATGGTTTTTGATTTGATCATGCACTGGCCTCAGAGGTTTATTGGTGTTGTTGTTTAAAGGTAGACAGAAATTCACTAGCTTAAAAAACAAAACAAAAGCATTTTTAAGTGAAGAGAATTTGAAAATTGTTTCCCCACCAATTAATTTCCTCTTTCTCCTTATAAACAAGTTTGTTGCTTTATAAGCCCTAGTAGAGAGAAAATTGCAGGCAAAATTTAAAAAATCCAAAATGGTGTCAACTAGTTAGTGCTGTGTTTTTTTTTATTTTGTGAAAAAATATAAATGGTTTGGGGGAGTTCTGACCGTTTCAATTGTGAGAATTTGCATTTCTGAAATTTTATATGTTTCATTTAATAATGGGTTGTCTTGTTTGCCCCCCCCTTTTTTTTTGGTCAGGGTTCTTAAAACCAGGGATGGAGAGATGAAGAGGACAACATAAGCAAATAAAATCCTACCATTTCCAGTTCAATATCCAAAAGTTTGCAAGCACCGAACACCGGGGGTTTTGCTGTGATTTAAACAGAACAAACACACACAAAAAGTAAGCATGCTGTTTCTTTTAATAGGGAAAGCGATGGTGTTTGCAAGCTTGACAATGCCACCTCGCTATGCATGCATGGATCAACTGCTTTTTACAAAGAGAATACTTATTTAAACAAGTCAGGAAAAGGGATAAAGGCTATTCTGCAGTACAGAATATCAGACAAAGCCTCTCGCCACGAAGAGGCTAAGAAACAATAAATAAACATCCAAATCAGTCCAGAGATGTAGAAACAAGATGAATGTACTTACAGAAGAAAAAGGAGGGGAGTAATAATAACCAAATCTATTTGCCTCACCATGTGAATAATACAATATATGTGTACCCCTCACTTGTTCAGGGGAGACAGACATAGGAAAGGAAGAGTTATTATATCAACTGAAATCTTTGGAAATCCCTCAGGGGCAACTGCCCATGTTCATCATGGCTGACAAATACAGTCATACCTTGGAAGTCGAACAGAATCCGTTCTGGAAGTCCGTTCGACTTACAAAATGTTCAGAAACCAAAGCGCGGCTTCTGATTGGCTGCAGGAAGCTCCTGCAGCCAATCGGAAGCCGTGGAAGCTCCAGCTGATGTTTGGCTCCCAAAAACAGTTCGCAAACCGGAATACTCACTTCTGGGTTTGCGGCATTCGGGAGCCAAAACGTTCGAGAACTAAGCTGTTCGAAAACCAAAGTATGACTGTATACTAAAATCATACCAAACGGAAAGGAATCTCTCTCTTTTAATTTGACACCTCAAGACTCTTTGCTTATAAGAGAGCCAGTGTGGTGTAGTGGTTAAGTAATCTGGTGAACCGGGTTCGCTTCCCCGCTCCTCCACATGCAGCTGCTGGGTGACCTTGGGCTAGTCACACTTCTCTGAAGTCTCTCAGCCCCACTCACCTCACAGAGTGTTTGTTGTGGGGGAGGAGGGAAAAGGAGATTGTTAGCCACTTTGAGACTCCTTAGGGTAGTGAGAAAGCGGGATATCAAATCCGAACTCTTCTTCTTCTTATATATTAATTCCGTTTATAAACATGAAACCAGATTGTGAGTGGAAGGCCAAAAGGCTTACCGTCATCAGGTCGCATTTGTCCCAATGGCCTCCTGATCGGCGTCCCAGATACAACGACGGAAGAGGCACGTCCGTGATACCCAACTGGCAAGTGCAACCTTGAAAAGAGAAATAATCACAGGGGGTTGTGATCATCAACTAAAAGGAGAATGTGGTCAATGCATAAGAACATAAGAAGAGCTGGATCAGGCCAGTGACCCATCTAGTCCAGCATCTGTTCTCACAGTGGCCAATGAGATGCATATGGAAAGTCCACAAGGGTTCAAATCGCTTCATTGAGTATCCTCTCATTCATCACATTCAGATAATGCTTTATCCTCGAACGGACACCCAAATGATTCTTCTCCCCATTCAACTCCTCCCAAACGTTGTTGGAGAATCAACTGTTATACGAAAAACTGCTCCCTTTCCCTTATGGGGTATTCTGGAGCTTGTATAGAGAGTCCTTAAGTGGGTTCCCTATTGGTAGGAGAAAATAACAGAGGCAAACCAGAGTAAATTGAGAAGCAAAGGGGCTAGTAAGCCTGATTTTTATTCTAGAAACTGTTGCAACAGGGTCCCCACTCCCCACACACAGGAGGGAGGGGAACCCCAAACAATGGTGTGCAGGCCCCTATATATACTTTTGAAATTGCCCACCCTGTAGCCCAAGACCACCACTCCAAACATCATGCATACATCACAGAAGGGGGAGGTCTTCAGCAGAAATTTGAGAATGTGCTCAGCTTAACAGATACTTGCCAGACTGTATTTGAAATGGGAGGTGTAAGCCCCTACAGTCAAAAGACAATCAGAAAGCTTTTCCCATTTCCTTCTTCCTTGAATAGAAATATGTGAGGTCAATTTGGGAGAGTCAAAATGGCTTCAGGATTGTTCTCCTGTACTATTTCAGACCCATG